GTTTATGGTTAGACATGGGAAATGCAGGGATAGGGGAATGGTCTGGTTGGGATGCTCTTCAGAGGGGCAGTGTGGACTTGTTGGGCCGAACGGCCTATTTCCACACTGTAGGGATTCTATGATTTTCATCCTACATCTTCTTCCGTCCACCTGTCCTGCTACATTCAGGAATTTATGGACATTATAATCCAAAGTGCTTTTGTTCTCGCACTTGCTTTTGTACTTCTCCATTGCAGTCACTCATTGTATACTTCTTTGTATTATTTGGCTTCCTGAAATTACCTCATGTTTCTCCAAACTGAATTTGGTTTGCCAATTTAAACCACTTGACCATCTATTCGTATTTGGCTGCAGTCCACAGCTTTCTTTTCCTTAAGAAAAGCAACCCTGTCAATTTTTTTAACTTCCGAATTGGGCGCTCTGCAGTTACGTCTAAATCTTTGATTACACCATAAGATGCAAGGAACCTGGAGCTGAGCGCTGTAGGATCCCATTAGAAGCAGCTTTCCAGTCACATTGAAACCTCTGACCATTATCCTTTCCTCCCACTATGCCAATTTTAGATTCAATGTGCCACTTTCCCTTGGGTTCAATGGTTTTTACTTTTCCAGGCAGTGTCATGTGGGACCTTGTTAACAGCCTCACCGAAATTCATGCTGACTTCTTCAAAAGCACTATACTCATTGAACCTCTGTTATTACCGCCTCAAAAACTTCTTGCCAGTTCATCAGACACAAACCAATTATTAATAAATGTGTGCTGACTGTACTTGATTGATTCATGCCTTTTTGAATAGCAACTTATAGTATCCCTTAGAATTCTTTAGAATAATTTGACTACCACGGAGGTTAGGCCGCCAAATCTGCAATTACTTGATCTATCTTTTCCTCCCTCATTTAAAAGTGTAATAGTAGCATTCCTCTGACTCTGACACTACAGCCAGGAGAGGAGTGGAAAATGTGGTCAGAGTTTCTTCTTTTCCTTCCTATAACTTCTCTTAGAAGCCTTATGCTTGCCCCAGATGTGGTGATTTAGCTATTTTCAAAGGTGCCACTGCCAATCCTAAAATGATATGGGTCATAAGGAGAGCAGCAAGTCTGTAAACGACCTACCGAATTCAGGCTATTAGATAGGCATATGGATGATGGTATAAAGGTAGGGGTGGAGGTTAGATAGACTTTAGGATTAGGGCAAAATTTCGGCACAACATCGTGGGTCGAAGGGCCTGTACTGTGCTGTACTGTTCTATGTTCTATGTTTATACTTAAAACTGTTAATACTGCACACCCCTCATGGGGAATGATTAGTTCAACTGCAACTGTATTCATTAGAGTTTTGAAGGATAAACGGGCTCTGATTGAAATGTGTATAATTCTAACACAGCTGGACAATCTAGATGCAGAGAGGATTTCTTTTTGATTGAATATTCTAGAACCAGAGGGCACACACAGATCAAGACACAGGGAAGCCATTTAGAACTGAGATGAGGAAACATTTCTTCAATCAAAGGTTAGTGAATCTGTGGAATTAGCCACCACAGAAGGATGCGGAAGCCAAGTCACTGAATATACTCAAGGAACAGATAGATACAGTCATATATTTAAAAAGCATCAAAAGAGTATGGGGAGAAAAAAGAAATATGGCACTGAGATATAGGCTCAGCCATGATCATGCTGAATAAAGGAGCAGGCTGAAAGAGCTGTCTGGCCTAATCCACAAGAACACAAGAACTAGGAGCAGGAGTAGGCCGTCTGGCCCTTCGAGCCTGCTCCGCCATTCAATAAGATCATGGCTGATCCTTTCGTGGGCTCAGATCCACTTACCCGCGTTCTCACCGTATCCCTTAATTCCTTTATTGTGCAAAAAAAATCTACCTTATCTTTAAAAACGTTTACTGAAGTAGCGTCAACTACTTCACTGGGCAAGGAATTCCATAGATTAACAACCCTCTGGGTGAAGAAATTCCTTCTCAGTTCAGTCCTAAATCTGCTTCCTCTAATCTTGAGGCTATGCCCTCTTGTCCTCGCTTCACCTGCTAGTGGAAACATCCTCTCTACTTCTATCTTATCTATTCCCTTCATAATTTTATATGTTTCTATAAGATCCCCCCTCAATCTTCTGAATTCCAATGAATATAATTCCAATCTACTCAGTCTCTCCTCATAAGCCAACCCCCTCAACTCCGGAATCAACCTAGTGAACCTCCTTTGCACCCCCTCCAGTGCCAGTACATCCTTTCTCAAGTAAGGAGAGCAAAACTGCACACAGTACTCCAGGTGTGGCCTCACCAGCACCTTGTACAGCTGCAACATAACCTCTCTGCTTTTTATTTCAATCCCTTTAGCAATGAAGGACAAAATTCCATTTGCCTTCCTAATTACTTGTTGTACCTGCAGACCTACCTTCTGTGATTCATGCACAAGGGCACCCAGGTCCCTCTGCATAGCAGCATGCTGCAACTTTTTACCATTCAAGTAATAATCCTTTTCACTATTACTCCTACCAAAATGTATGACTTCACACTTATTTACATTGTATTCCATCTGCCAGACCTTTGCCCACTCACTCAATGTATCTATGTTCCTCTGCAAAGTTTCACAGTCCTCTGCACACTTTGCTCTGCCACTCATCTTAGTGTCATCTGCAAACTTTGACACCCTACACGTGGTCCCCAGCTCCAAGTCATCTATATAAATTGTAAATAATTGCGGTCCCAATACCGATCCCTGAGGCACACCATTGGTCACTGACTGCCAGCTAGAATAGCACTCATTTATCCCCACTCTTTGCTTCCTGTTAGTTAACCAATCCTCTATCCATGCTAATACTTTACCCTTAATGCCATGCATCCTTATCTTATGCAGTAGCCTCTTGTGCAGCACCTTGTCGAAGGCCTTTTGGAAGTCTAGGTACACCACATCCACTGGGTCCCCATTGTCCACCTCGCTCGTAATGTCTTCTTAGAACTCCAAAAGATTTGTCAAGCATGACCTGCCCTTCATGAACCCATGCTGCGTCTGCCCAGCGGGACAATTTCTATCAAGACGCCTTGCTATTTCTTCCTTGATAATAGACTCAAGCATCTTCCCCACTACAGAGGTCAAGCTAATTGGTCTATAATTCCCCATCTTTTGTCTACTTCCCTTTCTAAACAGTGGCGTCACATTTGCTGTTTTCCAATCTGCTGGGACTGCCCCAGAGTCCAGCGAATTTTGGAAAATTACCGCCAGTGCACCTGCTCTTTCTCCCACCATCTCTTTTAATACCCTGGGATGCATTCCATCAGGGCCAGGAGGCTAGGAGACTAATCCTGTTTCTAGTTTCTTTGTATCTGGTCACCTTAGTAGAGGAAAAATGTAATCATACAAGAGAAGGTGCAGAAGAGACTTAAGGGAATGTCACCAGGATTGGAACATTTTTGCTACGAAGGAAACATTGGTTAGGCTGAGATTAAATTCTTTGGAATGTAGGAAACAGAGGTGATGGTTTAATTTATGTGCGTGAAATTATGATGAACTAGGTAAGAGTTCATCAGAAGGACCTAATACCTCAAGCAGAGAAGTCAATAACTAGGATGCACCAATTTACTATAATTGGCTAGAGTTGGGGAGACTTGAGGGGAAGTGTTGAGGGTGATGGGATATTTTGAACACACTGCCTGGAACACAGCAGAATCCCTTAAAACAAAACTGGCATGTTCGCTTGAAGTGCCATAACATCCAGGGCTACAAACCAAGCACTCCATGGTGAATATAGGCTGAATGGCTCGTTTCTTTGGCCATTACAAATATAATGCACCAACTGGACTCTTTCTGTCTGTAATTTTTTCAATGTTTCACATAAATCTCCCCAAACCCAGCTGAGAAGATCTAAGTAGTAAGTACAGAGATAGGGGGGAAAAGTTGGGGAAACAATTCCATGAACATTATTCCAGAAAGTGATACTTTTATTACTGAAATCCTTGCAATGATGCAAGAAACCTCCGAAAGCATCAAGACAATTATAATTCAAATAATATTCAAAATAGACAAGCACGTACTGTCTGCACATCTTATATACTCAAGATTCTCCACTGCTCAAGATCATGGCACCAAACTGAAAATGATCATCTCTCATCTACTTCGAGACAATATGCAATTCATACAGGTCCATTACTCACAAAACAACTTTAAAAGTGATTCAGTGCATTGTACCATTGAAACAACACCTGCACCTTAGTACTTTCACTGGCAACAGAAAGCATATGGCTGCATGGAATTAGAATCAAATCTGTCGACACTCAAGCAAATGGCCTTTAGCAACATGTTCAAAACGGAATTAAATTCCACGTACACCGCCTGCTAATGATCTTAAATATTCTACATTCCCCCTCTTGGTCCCTCCTGTTTGCTTTAAACTATACAGCTTCTGGCAAGAAGCCTCAGGAATAGGAAGTGCAAGTCTATCAAATCAGAACAGGAAATTTGCCTCCAAAAACAGAAACATACAACATCAATGCCAGTGTGCATATTGTAAATGGATTGTTAAATGCCTCATGCAAAGTTCTCTCTATTTGCTTCTGAGAAATGGTCATATTTATAATATTTAGAATAATAATGTGACTGGGGCTTATGTAGCAAGTTATCAAGTTTCAGGACATCCCAATATATTTCACAAGCAATGGATTAATTATTTAAGTTACCTTTCACTTACAAGTACCGATCCATTTGCACTGCATGTCTATTACCTTACAACATACTAATACGTACCACAAGTGAGTGCAAGTAACTCAGTCCATCTAAGTAAGAACAAATAGAGGCAAAATACTACAGGTGCTGGAAATCTGAAACAAACACAGAGAATGCTGGAGAAACTCAACAGGTCTGGCAGCATCTGTACAGACAGAAACAGAGTTAACATTTCGAGTCCAGAATGATTTTTCTTCAGAACAGACTGCCTCTATTATTAACATAAGTAGCAGTACTATATAAAACCGAGATAACAAAACTGTTTCTACTTACCTCCTGTTCCAAGGACTTTCAGTAGTTCAAAGTTTTCTATCCCAACTTTTTCTGCATGCCCTGTTAAGTTAGCTGGAAAACAACATAACTTTGTTAGACATAATCTATTTTTAAACTCTGGTCTTTATTTAATTTGAATTCTTTTACATTTCCTTCAAAACTTTGAAACTGTCTAGGTACTGATGAATGCTGCATTTAGATTAGCCATCTCAAAACAGAGAAATTGGCTGGAATAGCCAGAGGTGAATTCTACTAATTCTGTAGAATTCAAACCGCCATTAAATGGACACTTTAAATTAAACTATAGCAGAGCCTGAGGATTACAATTTGATAAAGTGCAAATAAGTATCTCTACTAAATGGTCAGAACTCTAGAAAAAGCAATGATTACAATAATATATTTTGATCCTTAGTGGTGTCATGCAATTTGGGTACTGAGCTTCAAGATAAGTGAACAGTAACTTGCCTCTTATTGGAATCTAGTAGCAGAGCTACCTTGAATTATCTAAAGTATAATTTTTCAGTTAGTCCAGACCCATCTATTAAAAATCATGGGGACCTCTTATGTTACCTACTGGTCACTATTCTTCTCAACTGTCTGAAGAGCAAAGATTTTGAGGATGATTCATTCCAAAGCCTTATTTTAATCAAACTGCCCTCATACAAAATTATTTAATTGCTTCTCTCTCAAGAAGGAGATATGCTACAGCCCATTTCTGAAGAAGGGTCCAGACCCAAAATGTCAGCTTCCCTGCTCCTCTGATGCTGCCTTGCCTGCAGTGTTCCTCCAGCTCCACACTGTGTTATCTCTGACTCCAGCATCGACAGTTCTTACTATCTCTGATGCTATTTTCCTTTCACTTATGGTCCAATCTCCCTAGTTTTGCCTCAAACCTTCCATTCATGCTGAACATTGAACTCCAAAGGTTACAGCAAGATTTAAAGCCTTCCTGATATTTGCATACTTTTTATCTGTTTATAGATATTTTCAAAACCAATCTGCTCAGGGATTTGTTCCACACTTCTGGAGCAGGTCAGATTTGGACCGAGGCCTTCTGGCCCAAAGCTCAGGACATTATCACTGCATTATAAGAGCTCTTTCGATCTGTTTATATGATGTTGTTGATCACTAAGAAGTGTGAGGGTCATAAACCAAGACAGAGTCTGCAATATCTAACAATTCAACTCCATTTTGATCTGCAATTTTTAAAAATTCGTTCATGGGACGTGGGCATTACCAGCTGGGCATGCATTTATTCCCCATCGCTAACTGCCCAGAGGGCATTTAAGACTCGAGTGCATTGCTGTGGATTTGGAGACACATGTGGCTAGGCCAGGTAAGGATGGCAGATTTCCTTCCTTAACAGACATCAGTTAAGCAAGTGGGTTTTACCCGATAATCGACATGGTCATCTTCAGGCTAGATTTTCATTCAGAATTTTGATGAATTCAATGGGGTTCTGAGTTACTAGACCAATGACATTAACAGTATGCCACTGTCTCCTTTTCACATATCCTCACAAGTGCTTCACCAGTCTTTCTTATGACAGTCAGATACACTTTATGACAGAAGACCAGATACTAATTTTTAAGCAGCTTTAGCAACAGCATGTGAGTGCACAGAATAGTAGATACAATCAAAATAGTACAACTACAAAACAACTTAGGAACAAAAAAAAGAGGTTTTAAAACATCATATTATTTCCATTAGCAGGCTCACTCAACCTTTCTATTATGAAACAAGGAACTGTGGATGCTGGAGTCTGAAGCGAAAACAGAAATTGCTGTAAAAACTCAGGTCTGGAAGCATCTGTGAGAAGAAAGCAAAGTTAATGTTTCGAATCCAGTGACTCCAGTTCTGATGAGGAGTCACCGGACTCGAAATATTAACTCTGCTTTCTTCCCACAGATGTTACCAGACCTGCTGACTTTTTACAGCATTTTCTGTTTTTGTTTCACTTAACCTTTCGTCGGTCAGTCTTCTTAGCCTGACTTGGCTTGGAACCTAACAATAAGTTTCCCCATACTGGGTACAGCTGCTCCAAAGACCTACCTAATTAGGCGACAGTCCATGTTTCCCCCACCCATTGCTGTGATTGCACAGGTAGTTCATAATGCTCCTGACCTCAAATGTGAATGAACAATTTTTATTGTCACATGTATTTTACAATAAGAAAAACGGTAAAACACAGTGAAAAGCTTTTCCACTGTCGCCACTATCTGGCACCATTTTGAATAGCTTTAAGAATAAATAAAAAGGAGAGATATAGCTTAAAGATAGTCCATCAGTCCTGAGTCAGATCATCATCAACAATGCCTTCACCGCCATCTCTCCTCCATCGCTTCCACTGATGTAGCAGCTGCCGGTTCCAATGCCAGTTCCCACGCTGGCTCCAAAAGAGTAAGTAAGCGTTCACTCGCCACCCATGAGGTTCACACTGGGCCTGTTCCCATAAAGTGAGTTGTCAGTGTACCTGACAATAAAGCTCATAATATTCCTAAGGCAGAAATTTAAGGAAGATATTTCTGCACTTCTAAAAATGGACTGAGGGCTTTTAGGCTTATTTGGGTCTGGGATGAAACCCCATGGTATCAGACTGAAAAAAAATGGCATTGATAAAAAGAGAGCAAATCATCCAGATTAAGCAGACATCTCAATGCCTATAAGGATGCACTTTTTTAAAGCTGTGCAAATTCACTGCTTAAATCAACACTTTAAAACACAGCTCGTTCTCAAGAGGAATGATTAAAATTCACAGAAGGTGATGGGTATTTAGAATGTCATCATTTACAATTTAACTTTTTATTAAATCAAGTTGGAAATCTTGCTGGATTTTATTCTATAAATAATTCAACTGTATCACCATATGCTGGAGCATGGCTCAGCAGCAGAGAGTGGTTCAAAGAATACCAAAACTGCTCATTGCTACTGCTGTACCCCGAGTATTACATTTTCCTTACTTACATTTGTATATAGGAGCTGAACTCACTGGTCGGTGGAAAATATTCAACTTTAAAGTAGATTGCTGTAAAGAGATATATTGCTGCAATTTTTATTTTTGTCTTGAACTCATTGGGCTAAATTTAAGAATCCCAAATTTCAAATAAACAGAATTTATACTACAGGAGAAAAAGGGTGCTGACTGGTTGGAAAGTTGATGTTGATTGGCCAAGGTGTCACTATGGCAAAAGTAATAGGGAGCGACAACTTTCCCCAAACACCATACTAATTCAAAAAATACACAAGGCTTGAACACATCCATTTGTTTGAAAAGAATGGATCATTGTATGTGAATGTTTGTAACCTCTGGCAAGATTAAATATGATGATCATCTCGAATTGGTTGTTAGTGCAGCAATTAGCACGTTAAGGATTGCTCAGCTTGGCATCATGTCTAACACTAGATGTTTTGTGTTGGGTTTTATAAGCGTGGGCTGATCGAGTAGGGTCTGTACTCTACTCATTATGAACAACTGAAGCAGCACACTGCTAGAGTCGATTAGCCAATAACCCAGTGTGCAACCTCCATACCTGGCAGCAAATCAATAGATATATTCATACAACGACGTACACATTGGGATTTTAATAGCTGCACATGCTAGAAGATTGCTTTATCAGCAAACATGTAATTAGGATCCTCAACACTTTGCAAGCTTTTTGCTGAAATAAAGTGCATCCTCGAATACAATGGCTATCCTGGTCAGATCACTGTTCACCTGATTCCGGGGATGGGAGGTCTGATCTATGACAAGAGATTGATGAGTTTGGGATTGTTTTTGCTAGAGTTCAGACAAATGAGGGGGGGATCTCATTGAGGCTTACAAAATTCGAACAAGACTAGACAGGGTAGATGCAGGGAGAATGTTCCCGATGGTGGGTGTGTCCACAACCAGGGGTCACAGTTTGACAATTCGGGGTAGACGATTTAGGATGCAGATGAGGAAACATTTCTTCACCCAAAGAGTGGTGAGCCTGTGGAATTCATTACCACAGGAAGTAGTGATGCCAAAAAATTGAATGAATTCAAGAGGCGACTAGGTATAGCACTTGGGGCGAACGGGATCAAAGGTTATGGGGAGAAAGCAGGATTAGGCTATTGAGTTGGATGATCAGCCATGATCGTGAAAAATAGCAGAGCAGGCTCGAATGGCTGAATGGCCGAATGGCCTCCTCCTGCTCCTATCTTCTATGTTTCTATGTAATTCTCAATGGGCCAAAGGCTGCCACTTTTAATACAAGTTAATGCTGATCTTAATAACAATTTTTAGCTACCTCGTTATCAAAGTGTAGATTTGAAATTTACTTGCTGGGGAAAAACTGTATCTGCAAATTCAGAAGAGTAATATTTTGGTTCTTATCTATTACAATACATTCTATTGCCGTGCAAAGGTAGGACACTAGTTTCAAATCCATGACCTGGGAGAACATCTTAACACACAGTTCAGAAAGCAAACTTAATTCATCATAAAACTAAGTAAACTGTGAACAAATTACACTTGCTTACAATAAGACTGATCCTTGTGGATCTTAATTATATCAGACTTTACAGGAAACTGGATGGATTTCAAAGGCAAGTATGTTTATCCAATAACAGCTTAGCTATGCAAATTAGGAAAGGTCCAAAATGTAATCTCTTGATGGATGCTTAGAGTCAGCTGATCTCAGATGTGAAAGATTACAGGAAAGAGACAGACAGCTTAGTGGCATTGTATATGACAACAATCTCACCCACAATGCCAGCAAAATAAAGGAGCTGGTCCTTGACTTAGGAAGCAGAGTGGAGGACACACCCCTGTCTGTAACAATGCTGTTGAGGTGGAGGTGGTTGAGAGCTTCAAGTTCCTAGGAGTAAATATCACCAATAATGTGTCTTGATCCATCCACGTTGATGCTATAGTCAAAAAAGCATACTAACGCCTCTACTTCCTCAGAAGGTTAAGGAAATTCAGCATGTCCAAAATGACTCTTACCAATTTTAAAGATGCACCATAGAATGCATCCTATTCAGATGCATCACAGCTTGGTATGACAACTGCTCTGCCCAAGACTGCAAGAAATTACCGAGAGTTATGA